CAGGTCTCATTGCCACCCTCCCCTCCCAGAAGCATGTGTGGGGGAGGGGGTCCAGGCCAGAGTAGAGCTCTGGGCCATGTACCCCAATGGGCGCAAGCTTTCGGGCCACTGCGTTGTCACAGTGGAAACCATTAAAGGCCATTCTCCCTTTAATTCTTTGTGGTCGCTCTCACTCGTTCCTTGGAGAAACCTCTGATTTCCACTTTCGAGACGCTTGGCTGCGTTTGTCATACCCTGCAAGGTGATTTCAGCTCTCTGGTGCCAAAGAGCCTTCCCAGCTAATCAAAACACAGCTGCAGAGGCCCGCGATCTGCTGGTGGGTGCCGACTTGGGTATGCCTGTCTGTACCTGGGGAAACAGATATAATTAGGATAACAGATATCAGACGTACATGCAAATGCAGCAGGTACAAGCGACTAGCAGCGAGACAAGCGTGGCTTTGCCAGGTCCCACTGGACAGCTGTGCGGCTGAGCCAGAGACCCGCGGGCGTGGCCACTCCTTCCCCGGACCAGCACTGCTGCCCTCCCTCTCTCCACCCCCTTCTCGGCGCTGCCGGAGCCCTCATGCAAATTGTTTTCCGTTTAAAAATAAAAATAGGCTCCCATACTTTTCTGAAGAGGCTCTTCCAATAGCCCCAGGTCTTACGAGGCTGCAGGGGTCCCAGCATCTGAGAGGCAAGTGAGGGAAAGAGACAAGAAGAGAACTAACGCTCCCAGCGCCCAGAGGGATAGCACCATGACCACAGCCACCTGACAAACCCTTGTTAAGACAAGTTTTGGTTTTTTCCCCCTCAAAGAGAACCACCCTACGAGGAGGGCCTGGAAGTTTGATGTCAGGAGGCAGGGGTTGGGTGTTAGTTGCCTTTTACTGGTGNCCTTGTTAAGACAAGTTTTGGTTTTTTCCCCCTCAAAGAGAACCACCCTACGAGGAGGGCCTGGAAGTTTGATGTCAGGAGGCAGGGGTTGGGTGTGTGAGCTTGGGCAGGGGACTTGCCTCTCTGTCCCTGGGCTCGCTCACCCTCAGATGGGCATAGGAACTGCGCCTGTCTCAAAGGGAGTGGCCAGCTGTAAGCTGTCGGGTAATGTTTTCCTTTGTAATGAGTTCGAGGGAGGGTGAAGAGCGAGTCAAGGATCAGGCCTGGTGTCTTCACTTCACTGCAGAACTCCATCGACGTGATCTCGGGCACACCACTCTGCCTCTCTGAACCTCAGCTTCCTCGTCTGTAAAATGGGCGAGTAATGCCTCCTTCCCTAAGCTGCTAGGGGATCAAACATGGCATTGTGTAACAGTAAACAGCAGGTGCCGGTTTTGTTTGTGGAGGAACCGTCTCTGCATCTTTGGGGAGCCCCAGGCCTGATGGGGGGGGCGGTCTCATTTGTAAAACTCTAGGTCCGATGAGGGTGATGAGGCCCGTGACCCCGGGCGGTTTATCAGAAGGGCCGCCCACTCTGACCAGGCTGTGCAGGGCTCGGGTGGGCGTCCAACCCCACGGAGCCATCGGGTGCCCGCAGGGGCCTCCGGCTTCGTTGCTGCGGTGGGACCTAGCTGTTCTCATTCCTGAGAGCTCTGTGCCTGGCACAGGGCCTAGTGCACCGCAGACGCTTGAGAGAGATGTATTGGCCGCCTGAACCCGTGGGCGAGCAGATGCTGAATTACATCACAAACTATCTGTCTGTCCTGTGGGTGGAGCAGCGACAGCTGTCAGAGTCCTGGTCTCTCTGCAGATAGTGAGGACCGCACTTGACAACACTGCCCAGGGCCAGTGGCCTTCGGCACCAGAACCACACTCAGGTCTCGTTCTGCTCTGTCCCAGCAGTGACCTTGTTTGAACGTCAGTGTAAGAAACCGTGCCG